AGCCTGGTAAACATGCTGGAGAGCCCAGGGAGATCGACCAGCATCGGCCTCTCCAAGCTTGGAAGCTCACTCAGGCTGGACTCACAGATAGCCCTGTTTCCAAATTGAAATTTGTTTGCCTGGCCAGTGGCACTGGGAGTTAATATTTCTATCGCTGTATTTGGGAATTAATTTCTAGAGCACTTAATCACCACCTCTCTCCCCCTCCCTCACCTTCTTCCTTCCTTCATTCCTCTCCCTTCTAATTTTCCACTTGGCTGGGAATTCTCCAGCAGTGAAAGTTCAGGCTTAGGGGAGGGCAGAGGTAGCTGCTTCATTAGAGAGGATAATCTCATTGGAACCACTGGCTTGAATAATAACCCCTTCTAGGGGCCCTAGGGCCTTTCTCCCCAAGGGCTTTTTGCACCTTTGATCTGAGGCTGGAGAAGATGAACTGCAGAGAAGTGGAATGAGGAAGAGAGGTCAGGGGAGGTTAGCAGGGAGGGACTCCAGCTCTGGGGGTCTGATGTATCGTCTTGGGGTCAGCTTCCTGCTGGCCATCTGAAGGTTTGTATTTGGAGCGGGAGTGACATTGGCATGCAGAGAAGAATGTCAGAAAACTCCAAGTCACACAGCATATGCACTATCTAAATTCATATCAGCTCCTGTTTTCCTACCTGGGAAACGGATGAAGCAGGGGATTCCTTCATGTCAAGGGGCCCGTACAGTGGAGCTGAGGGACATGCTTTAGGAGTACCTGAAGCCTCTTGGAAGGAAACATCTAAGCCACTACCCCTGCCTCTCAGGTGATGAATTAACACTTTGCTCTGGTTTCCAGCTCTGGTCTGGGCTGTTGGGAATCAGAGTCCTAGAAAAGCAGAAGTCCATTCCCTTGACAGACCCCAGAAGAAACCAGCAGGAATTCATGCCTCCCCTTCCATTATCCTATCATATTTAAGGTCAATTGTCTGTGCTTTTGGACATTTGTAGCCTCCACCCTCATGAGTCCTGGAGGATAGTAGAAATGTCAAAACATCTCTGGCTCTGACCTTACACTTGACTTTCCACTAAGATAGCTGAGTTCTCAATACCCTTTGACAGCTATTAAGAAAACAGAGATCCAGACCATTCTTTCACTCTTTTCTCTCTCCTGGTCTCTGGGCTGTCCTTCTCCTTTATTAAGAGGAAAAGTGCTGCAGTCCTGCCTTTCTTTTGTCTTTGATTTGCCCCAAGGGCCAGTCATGGAGAAGATCTGTGGTTCTCTGGGCTGGGCATGGTGGCTCACGCCTGTAATCCCAGCACTCTAGGAGGTGGAGATGAGTGGATTGCTTTAGCTCGGGAGTTTGAGACCAGCCTGGGCAACATGGTGAAACTGGTCTCTACCAAAAAAATACAAGTTAGTTGGGCATGGTGGCGTGTGCCTGTAGTCCCAGCTACTTGGGAGGCTGAGGTGGGAGCATGGCTTGAGCCCAGAAGGTGGAGTTTGCAGAGAGCTGAGATTATGCCACTGCATTCCAGCCTGGGCTACAGAGCCAGACCCTGTCTCAAAAAATAAAAATAAAAAACACTCATTCTAAAAATAAATAGCAAATAAAAAATAAAATAAATCTGTGGTTCTGCATCAGCTACAGTTTGGAGAGGTCAAATGAGGATGTCAGAGAAAGGATAAGATGATAATACTAGCTAACATTTATGAGGGCTTACTATGAGCTACGCCCTGTCCTTAATGCTTTACTCACATAATCTCATTTAATCCTCATAATAACCTTATTAGGTAGTTACTGTTTTGTCCCCATTGTATAGATGAGAAAGCTGAGGCACCAAGATGTTAAGTAATTTGCCCAAGATTATACAGTTAAATGTGATATTTAAAATTGTAAATTACAAGTGACTTCCCTATAAAACCTAAAATTGGGGGAAGGTGATGAGTAGTTCCTTTGGCGCTCTCAGGAGCAGTGACAAGATGCAACCACATGAACTTTGGAAGCAGCAAGCACTGCAGGTAGAACTTGTTCTGAGATCTCCCGAGCAAACACCTGTGTGCCACCTCTCCCTCGCTGCCCCTGGAAGAGAGATGGAGTCCTGTCTTTTCTATCCGAACCTCTATTTGGTAACTCCAGGTGATGTTTGGCCTGGAAACAGCTCTGCTTTTCCCTCTCTTCATAATTTAATCAAAGACATTTTTCAGACCTACTGATTGCTCTTAGAAATAGGAACTTCAAAGTTGGGGAGTCAGTGAATAATTTAAGCCCGTACTAGCTCTCTGGGTCTGCTGTTAATGGGAGTAATAACACTATTAATAGCGATGTCAGTGCAGACACTCTGGAAAAGTCCATAACATTAGCTTAATGGCCGAAGGTAATGGAGTCCTCGCAGAGGAGCTGGCCTGGTAAATTAACTTCCAAGTCTTTTAGGCAGACACTCTTGTTGCCATCGGTCAGCTGGAGCAGCAAGGAAGTGCCATGGGGGTGACCACACTCACGCCTGATCCTTCACTCCTGGGAGGGTGTTTCCTAGAAGCACCCTGGAGAATTTATCTTCATCCAACAAGTTGCAATAACACTCAAAGTGCATCCCAGTGCCAGGCAAAAACAGCAACTAACCTAGACAAAAAGATTGAGGGGAAAATGTTTGAATTGCCCTAAGGACACGAAGAGGGCACCAGGATGGTAAGGAGAACCGGCTTAGTCTACAGCGGGGGGTCTGCCCCTCACTCCTCAGTCTGGAAGTTTCAGGAGGTAGAGCTCCATAGTAGAGCACAGGCTGCAGGGTGCATCTGTGTTCCAACATGTCCTGACAAGGTGGGGTTTGTTGCAGCATTGTCATGAGACTTAAACGCTAGGCAATGTAAACCCCATATCATGTGCCTATTAATAAGCGCTCATACCTCGCAGCCATGAATGTACTGTTCAGGGTTGTTTTTCACTTTCGCATTGCACATCCAATCTACTTTGAAGTCCTGTGTTCTGTCCCTGTGTCGCTCCATTTATCCCATCCTTAGAGGAACAGCTTCAGTCCATGGCCTTCAATGATTTTTCGTTCATTTGTTAGATTCTCCTCTCAGGCTCTCCACCCAGGCTGTCACTCTTGCTGTGGCCAAAAGTGGGAGGAGAAACCCCCATAGCTTTCCCTAAGCCTGAGTTACCCCAAGAGCAGCTCAGGGTATCCAGGTGCCCCCTTCCCTCATCTCCTTGCCCCACACCACACCTGTCTGCTTCCTGAGACAGTTGTTCCCTCCCCAAGTCTCC